CAGTGCTGAAGTAAGAGGTCTGTATGCCTGAGGGCTCAGCCAATAAGTCAACCGTTTGGCTCAGGTCATAATCCACTGTCTCCGTGAGTTTATAGTCTCATCGGCTTCCCTCATCCATAGCAGAGCCCAATCCTCATCCTCTCAATTCTCTATTTCTAAATAAATAAATAAATAAATAAATAAACTTTATTTATTTTTATTTTTTTAAGGTGTATTTATTTTGGTGGAAGAGACAAGGCAGAGTGTGAGCAGGCGAGGGGCAGAGAAAAGGGGAGACAGGATCGGAAGCGGATCCGGGCTTAGGCTGTCGGCACAGGGCCCGCCGCAGGCTCGAACGCACCAACTGTGATCGCCTGAGCCGAAGTCGACGCTTGACCGACTGGCAAAACCCCACCCAGGCGTTCACATAAATATACTTAAAAAAATATAATGACTCATCATAAGAGAGCCCTGTCGCCATCATTTGTGTTGACACGGTCTGTCTGCGTCCCCAGCCGCCCCGTTCGAAAGGTGAGCTCTGGGCATTGGCAAACCGCCCTTTTACTAGCAGAAGGAGGGGCTGGGTGGCCTAGGACAGGGAGCAGGTCTCGGGAGCCGGGGTCCCAGGCGGTGGGAGGAGTGCGTTACCCAAAGCTGCCTCGCGCCTGTGTGGAGCTCACCCCCATCAGGCAAGGCCATGTCCCGGCCCCATGGGTAGAGGCAGCTGAGGCCCGGAAGTTCAAGGGTGACTTTTCCAAAAGTCAGAACAATGCGTTATACTCTGGGCACTTGCCACCTGCCCCTGGCACAGGTAGCCATGAGGAAACACTGCGCTCACGATAATGCATTATAGAGATTTCTTCTTTCAATATGTTTTACCAAAAAAAAGGCATCACATTCCTTGACCTTTGCCTTTTGCTTGTCATGGACAAGCTCCCCAGACTGCATCGGGACCTGGTGCCTTCTACCGTGAAACAGAACACCGTCCCAGCTCATTTCCTCCTCCTTCTTACCACTGTCTGGCCCAGACACCCCCTCCTCTAAATAATCTTAGCGTGGCTTGCCTTTCTCTGGTCTCACCACACCTTCACCCTTTTTGCTCCCCAAGAGTCTAGCCAAACGGATGGAGGTTTTTAAGTATGTCGGATCGTCTCCCTCCTCCGGACAAAACCGTCCTACCACTCCCCTCTCCTCACCGTAGATGACAAAGTCCTCACGACAACCCGCGACAGCTCCTGCACATCCCCACCACCTCCCTCGGTCCACCCTCCTCTTCATCTGTTGTAGGTGCCATGGCCATGCTGGCCATATGCTGGCCTCCGCTGCCCTTGCGCACATACCAGTGCATACCAGGTTTCCTGCCTCGGGGCCTTTGCACATGTCGTTTTCTCTGCACCAGGAATTGTACTCCCCCCGTCTGTCATGGCTCACTTCCACTCGGTTTAACTCAAATGTCACCTTCTTTCTCTGAGCCCTTTGAAAATTACAACGCCCCCCCTCAACCCCCCCTTCCCAGATTTATTTTCTTCTTGGTATCAGCTGGCATATTTGATATCTTATTTATTGTCTGGCATCCACCAGAATGTAAGCTCGGGTGGGCTGGGATGCTGTCTACGTTCCCCTGCTGTATCCCGGCACCTCTTACATAATAGAGGCTCAATGATTGTGAATGATGTGCTTCTGAACAGCTTTTTTTTCAAATGCTTTTTTAAAAAAAAAGGTTTTGTTTTTTTTTTTGAACAGCTGTGTTAATAATCCCTGGTCTCTATCACTCAAATATGTCATAGACAAAGATTTGAAGGAGACCTGACAGTGACAAATGACAACACTGATTTGACTTGGGGATAAGAGTGTGACAATTATTTTTCTTGTATTTCTGTTATGTTGGTCGAGGGCAATTTAAAAAGAGTTCTTAAACACGGTGAGATGGTGGAGAAGCGCTGGACTCCAGAAACTTCTCATGGGCGCAGAGTGGCAGGCATCAGAAACACATACGGTTGGGGAAGGGACAGAGCCCCGCGTTGTGCTGCCCTCTGACTGGAGGCTGGTGGGGCGTGATGGGACAGACCCGCTCTTCAAGTCACATCAAAGCCACCACTAGGGGGCAGAATTGCTCAAAGATGATTCAACCATGGGAGTGGACTGTGAACCCAAGCAGAGAACAGACCTAGTGCTCAGCGAAAATGATTGTGACACTTGCACGGAGCACCTAGTGTGCCTGCCTGAGGCTCCTCCCACTAAGTATCTTGCTTAATCTCCATGATTCCTCTCGATGTCCATTACAAATAACAGGCCCAGGTCACGATCTGAACTCTGCCCTGCTAAGCTCTCTGAACTCATCTCCCATCAAGCCCCTCCTTGCTCAGGCTCACTCTGTTCCCAAACCCCAGGCCTCCTTGCTGCTCCTCTAATGTCTCTGTCACCTCCTGCCTCAGGGCCTTGCACTGGCCATTGCCAGTCCTTTGCACCTTTTCCCCCCCCAAATACCCCCATCTTTGACTCCTCATTTCCTTCAGGACTTTATTTAAATGGCAGTTTCTCACCAGGCCTTTGATCTAACACTATATTATCTACTTACTTGTTGCCTGTCGTTTCCATATTTCTCCCTGTTAGAATGAATGCACGTTGTCTGTTTGTTCTGCCGAGGACCAGAAAGAAGCCAAGACAGGAACACAGGACAGAGGTTACATTTGTTTGGAGTCCAGGAGGAGACCTGGATCCTGACTATTCACTAACTGGCTGTGCCTGGCGGTCCTAGCTGTCCCTCTCTGGAGCCTCAGGACCCCTTCTGTTTACCAAGGACCTTGTTCCTGGTTTTCAATACAATGGTCAATGGACTGGCTCACCATAGCTGCACGCCATTCCCCACTGTCCCATCCTAGTCCTTGCTCTGACCCTGGGAGCTTCTAGATTGTGTCTTTTTTTATCTAGAGCTTCTAGATTGTTTCTTTATCTAGGCCTGTGGGAAGTCTCAGTAAATATTCACTGAATTGGCAAACCAAGCGAATCGTGAATGAGTGCAGTCACTTTAGCTTTCCTGAGCCTCAGCTTCCTCATCTGTCAAATGGGAATAACAATGTCCCAGCCCATAGGGAGCTCTAAAGAATTAAATCATAGTAGGTGATGTGATAGCTTCTGTCCGTTAAGTTCCAAAACCTGCTTCAGCAGACCCACTGCTAGGGGCCCGGCTAAACAATACCTAACCTAGTGGGGATTCTTTATCCCCACTGAAGATTTGATTCTATAGCCAGCCCAGAGATTCTTAATGGACCCATTTAGCAGACAAGGAAACTGAGGCATGGACTATAAACTAATGTGTTGGATTTGATAAAGTATCTGCTGTACACTGACGATATCCTAGTATCTTCAACAGTGCCTGGCACATAGTAGGCATGAAATAAATTGCTTGAATGAATTAACTGAGCACCTATTGTGTGCCGGGTATATACCCAAAACCATGGCTAGTATATACAGCAGGGTCAGGACTCAAACTGAGTCCAACTGTGCTCCTTCCTCCTGGGTCCATCCCCAAGTCCAGGATTCTACCCACCAGAGGCCCCAGTCCTCCCCGCCTCCAGGGCTGTGGGCAGGATCAGATCAGCAGAGTGGTGTCTGAGCCTGAGTCACCGCCAAGGAAGCGTCACCTCTTGCTCTGTGACCTTAGCCCTGGGCCCCCGGCTACGTGCCTGTGTTGGTGCCAGGAAACCTCGCCTCACCTGACCCAGAGCCCTGGGGCCACCAGGTCAGCACTAGGGGCTGGGTGACCTTGCTGCCTGGCTGCTCTAAATAGTCAGGTCAGGGCTTGGGGACAGGGGGGGAGGGCAAGCTGGGCTCTGGTTTCCATGCCAACCCCACAGACGAGAAGGGGCTCGGTGCCTGTATGGCCTGTCTCCAGGCGGGAAACAGGGGACCCCACCAGGATCCCAGCACAGCTCACCCCATTCTGTGGTGTCCCGCAGCAAGGTGGGGACCCATTCAGCAGGATACTGTCACCTGTCTGGAGCACTAAATCCTGGGCACCTTGTTTCCTGCCTGATGACAGCTGTGGTGGGCGGAGGGGCGGTACCCAAGTCACCTCAGTCTGCCCGGTCTCCTGACCAGCCACTCATTCACGGTAGCCACAGGGTGACCCCGGGCTTTAAGCTATTGCTAGAACAGCAGCTGCTTTTGACCTCCTGCTGGAAAGTCAACCCGTCCCTCTCCCTCTGCTCCAGCTGGCACATCACCTCCCAGAACCCCAGTGTTTCTAAAGAAGCTGAAAATCTGGAATTTTTATGGAAGGCCTCCCATGCAGTGCGAGACTAATTAAGCTCACGAAATACTAGGCAGGCCAAGAGACCTGGTGGGTCAGTAGTTTCTGAGTCTTCCCCAAGATTCTATGACCTTTAAATCTAACATTCCAGGACTCTGGGTCTTTGACTCCAGGACTGAGCGTGGGAGTTAAGACCACCTCTGAGCCTGGAGACCCATTACTTGGTGAGGGAGCTACAGGTGGGCGCCAATGGTCCCAGCCCTCCCACCACCGCCAGGGCCTCTCACTCTGGGGAAGCTGCTGCCGAT